TGCGAGATGTTCTCCTCAGGCGCAAACTCTTTGGAACTAACCCAGACTAAGTCGCCTACTTGGAACTGTGAAGGGCGACGATGTTTGTTTGCTTGCTCTATCATCTTATGATGGGCTTTCCTGAGGTTTTCTACAACGGTAGCTAGTTCTCTATCGTGCTGCACAGCAAACTCCCGGGTCCCGGGCGGCAATCTGTGAATCTGATCCCGGTTGAGTCCCTCAAACGGTCTGCGCGGTCTAAAGGACTTGTGCAGTTCGTTGGGAGTGCGACATGTAGACAGATGCACGCTATTATTGTACGCACTAGCTACTTTGGGCAACATCTCATCCCAGTTAATCTGATCCGGCCTATTATACATGCGCAGAACTTGCTGTAGGATCTTGTTCATTTGCTCCGTCTGACCGTTAGTCTCAGGATGACGGCCGGACGACATCAACAACTTGGATCCATACACTCCTATGAGTTCTTGCCAGTTCTGGCTGGTGAAACGACTATCTCTATCACTAACTATTGACAGCGGGATTCCGTTCTCACTAACCCAACAGTCAAAGAACCTCTGTATGACTAAATCAGTACGCGCCTCTGAAGGCAAAGGAACAAAAACTGCGTACTTGCTAAAGCGGTCAACTATGACCATGACTTGGCTCTTGCCATGCCTGCTCTTGACTTGAGTGTCCATGAAATCGATTGACACTGAGTTTCCCGGCTGATCCAGAATGGGCAAGGGTCTGAGAAGACCTAGCGGGGCGCGCGTAGAACTCTTTTTACGCTGGCAGACTTTGCAACTGCGAACATACTCTACGTAGTCATTCTTCATCTCTGGCCAGGTATACGCACGCATAAGATTGGCTAAAGTCTTTTGCCAACCAAAATGACCCTCTGTGTCATGGCATTCGCCCAGAATCAGACTACGAATCTCTTCGCTATTGGGGATGCACAGGCGGTCAGACACATTAGTCTTCTCAAAAAGCAACCCTTCGGTAGTGCGGTAATTCGGTTCAGTCTCTGGGGCCTCCTTGACTTTCTTAAGGAGCTCACTATAGATAGGGTCCTGCGCGTAAGCTTCTCTAACCCTCTGCTGCAGGTCCTTCCCTATATCGAGGTAATGTACTATTGCCCCAAAGTAATCCGCTCTCCTACTCAGAGCATCCGCGACTACGTTGTACTTCCCTTTGACAGGCTTGAGCTCAAAGTCATACTGATCTATCTCTGCGGCCCACCTAGTAACCTTAGGTGTCATCTTGGCCTGCGCCTTTAACCATCGTAATGTCTCATGGTCAGAATAAACTTTGAAGTGCCTCCCAAGCAAATAGTACTTCCAATGGTCTAAGGCTTGCCTGAAAGCGTAAAGTTCCCTTTCATAGGTAGATGTCACGACCTTCTCTGAAGGCATCCTGGCGGACATGAACTCTACAGGTCTATAGCCATTGCCATCGTCTTGCTATAACACTGCGCCTATGTCGTACTGGCTAGCATCCGTAGTAACGACAAAAGGCAAGGACGGATCGGCGACCTTAAGGACCGGATACTCTATCAATGCCTGCTTTAGCTTCTTCATGGCAAACGTGCAGTCCTTGTCCCACTTCCAGATTGTCTCTTTTCTCAGCAATCTGCGAAGGGGCGCAGCGATGGTGGAGAAGTTCCTCACAAACTTCCTATAGTAGTTAGCTAGGCCCAGGAACGAGCGCAACTCTGTCAGCGTACGTGGCGTGGGCCAATCTCTAATCGCTGCGATCTTGCTATCTTCTGGCTTAACGTCGTCTCCGTCTAAGATGTGGCCTAGGTACAGAACTTGGGTCTTTGCCCAATCGCACTTCTTTGCATTGATCTTGAAGTTAGCTTCCCTCAACTTCTCCAAGACCTGCCTAAGATGACCCTGATGCTCTTCGAGGGTCCTACTAAACACTAGAATGTCATCTAGATAAACGACAACAAACCTGTTTAACCACGGCCTAAACAAATCGTTCATACAGCACTGGAACGTAGCTGGCGCATTGGTTAGTCCAAAGGGCATCACTATGAACTCGTAGTGCCCATAACTAGTCCGGAAGGCCGTCTTGTACTGATCATCAGGATGTACCTCTATCTGATGATATCCGAACTTCAAATCTATCTTGGAGAAATACTTCGCCCCCTGCACTCGATCTAAGAGATCGTCTATCCTAGGCAGTGGCTCAGCATTCTTCACTGTAATGGCATTCAGACCCCTACAGTCTATACACATCCTTAGCTCTCCCTCTTTCTTAGGTACAAAGAGAAGAGGGGCTCCAAAAGGAGACGAACTGGGCCTAATCCAACCCTTTTCAAGGAGCTCGTCCAACTGTTTCCGCAGCTCCTCTAACTCCCGCGGGGACATCCTATACACCGCACCCTTGGGAGTTGTACTGCCAGGCTCTATCTCAATACGGTGCTGGATGGGCCGCGGCACCGTGCCTGTCGGCGGCTCAGTCAAATCCTTAAACTCTTCCAGCAGCTTGGCAATCGCAGGGTCCATCGGCTTCTCTTCCGTAGGCTTAGTGACGGGCCTA